GATTTCCAAATCTGCACCCATCCCAGTATACCTGGGCTACAGGTGGGTCTGCAAGTAGGCTCTGCAGCATCTAGACCCACTCATTTCTCATTCACTTCCAACAGGGGACACCTTGGGTGCAATTTTCCAGGCCTCCTCTTCTACTCAAGTGAGAGAAATGACTTGTCTCAACTGAGTTGCTTTGGCTCACCGTGTCTGTAACCAACTCCTGCTCAGGAAAGTCTCCCATCATCCCGGGGTCACATTTTCCAGTCAAATGTGAGGGCTTCAGCTACCCCAGTGTAACTTGGAGGCCATAGCCACCACTTCGTGGGCAACTGAATCAACCCATGAATGAGGATGTTTGGTAAAATCTGAAACATATGCAGAAGAGTCATCGTTGTAATCAGTGTGTAAAGAAGATTTCATTTTTAGAATTTTTAAACCATTCTGTACATTCTCATACATTTTTTCATGGGCCATGGACAAGGATCAGCAAGCTGATGACACTTTCTCTCCCCCAATGTAAAGACAGAGTGATACATCTGGTTCCATTTGATGGGTAACATTTGAGTTTGGTCAAGTAGCCCCTGATTTGATTCCCCTCCACTATTGGCTGTTTTCCTCTAGAGTCCTGCCTTGAGGCACAATGCCATAGGAGAACCTCTTGGTGAAATATGAGGCAAAGAGGACATGAAGTATCTCAGCTCTATTGCCACCTACTCATACTATATTCAACTGTGACCACATATTACCCTTATTTCTTTTTGGACTGTTCCTAAAATTGTAAAATCTTTTTTTGTTGCCCTTGAATTCTCTTTCAAGTTTCAGATGATTTTTTGATACAGAAGATTGCGGTGCTTGGAGGATGCTGTCCTTGAAGATCACGTACACTTGGCTTTGCTGCCCATCAGTGCTACTGACAGTGGGATCCCCAATAAAACTCCCCAGATTAGACTAAATCTGCTCCACTGAGTATCGGCATCTGCAGTCTTCTATTCCCCTTCCTCACTGTCCTCAGGAGCTCAGACTCCGCTATCACTGTCCCAACAGCCAGTCTTCACACCCTTGACCAGCTCTTCCTTGCTTGCCAGTGTCAGCTCCAGGTTTGCATTGCCCTTGTTGGCCCATCTGGCAGCTGTGAAAACAAGCTGTCCCCAAACCGCCCGGACTGTTTGCATGCTGCTGTGTTCCTCTGCCAGAAAATGCCGGGGCCATTAAAGTCCCCAGTGAGGCCCAGGCTTCTCCAGCCAGAGACTTCCTTGGGGTGCTTCGAAAAGATTACGGCAGTTTCTCCATTCATGTCAAAACCCACAGGCTCCCTCTTCTCCTGGCTGAGGTCATCAGTGCACATTTGGGTCGTAGCACCTCAGGGGTAGCACCAGGCCAAGCTCTGACTTGTCTTAGAGAAACCTGGTACCAAGTGTCCCAGTCCCCATGTGTTCAGAGGCTTTGCTTCAGAGCAGATACAGGCCAGAGTTTGTGGTGATGGAAACATAAAGCTGAAATTGGATGCCAAGAGAGTGAGCAAACCGTGATGTCCCCAATGCCAGAGAAGTGCATCCCTGGAAAGAAATAATTTTACTTCAGTGATATCCCTTTTGCCTGTGAGGGCCTTTGTTGGAAGTGAAGTTATCCCTGATGACAAGATTTACCCAAGCACACTGTGAAAATGATTGGTCTGTTCCTTGATTGAATCATCAAGAGAGTGGGTGAAGACCTCGTGTGGGGGCATTTGTGTTCATGCAATGCCTGCAGCTGTTGGGTAGAGGAGAGATAGATCTTGCTTCTCTGGTGGCATCTGATGGCTGATGCCTCAAATCACTCTGTGATGGTGTCAGGGGTGTCTGTCTTACACCAACCCTGAATGGGAATTGCTTTCCTGTAGTTCCTGTGCTGTCCCTGCCAGCCCTGACCTCTAATGAAGCTCTGTGGGCCTGGATTTGGACATGAGATTGAGTAGATTCCCTGGATTCAGTAAGGCAATGTGGGGATGAACATGAAACCACTGCCAACGTCATCAGTGGCCATCTAGTAAATACAGCAGAAGGAGAAGAGAGAGACTGAGCTGTCCCTATAACACATGACTCCAGCTGCTCAGAGGAATAACTTTGCAAAATGCCTTGAACTTAATGAGAAGGGACAGGTTCAGTTGCCCTTATTTTTGGCATCAGCTGTCATTTCAGTTGGCCAAAGACAATTCCCAGCAGCCTCCAAGAGGATGCCCACAGATGCTGCCCTGCTGTCTCTGTGAACTGCTCCATCTGAGTTTGCAGGTTCCTGCCCATGACTTCAGCCACCCCTGACACCTCAGCTGTCACCAGGCATTTGTATTTGAACAGCTCACTCCTGGTCTCCCCCTTCATTAATTACCATGGGAGCTGAGCCAAGGAGCTCACCTGCAGGAGCACGTTTAATGATAATGTGAAGACAGGTAAGAGGAATCCCACCTCTTGAAATCATTGTGGCAGTAATGGCAGTGAGCTGAGTCTACTTTGAGTCTCAGGACAACAAACACAGGAAGAGATGCCTCGACTGGACTCAGCTGAATCCCTTCCTTCAGCAGGGGTAAAGGAGAACCCTATCTGTCCCTGTCTGGCTGTCCAGCCTAAAGATGAGTCAAGAAAAGGTGATTATTCGAGCCAACTCTTTCCCTGATAGGGGAAATGCTAGTACTGAAACTAAGAGTCTCTCCAGAGATGACGAAAGGAAAACCACTGACTGCATGAGGCTGTGTCACAGCAGGTTCCCTGGAGCCCCAGGGACAGCTGGAGGGAGCCCAGAGGGGCCACAGCAAGTGGCACCTTGGGCTGTTGCTGTGGTGCTGAGCTGGGCCGGGCTCCTGGGCCAGAGGGAGCTCCTGGCAAGTGGGCAGCGCTGCAGAGAGACAGCTCTGCCCAGGAGCAGCTCCTCTGCAAAGCGCAGCAGGGCTGGGGGCACTGCCTGCAGGCACCCAGGGCAGAGCAGCGAGGCACACACAGCTTCAAGGCAGCCTGGGCTGGGAGGCTGCTGAGAGCTCGGAGGAGGAGAAAGCGTCAGGGCCCTGGCCACAGTAAGTCTGGGGGTGCAGGGCAATGCAGCTGCAGCTCGGGGAGGGATCTGGGGAAGGCGGCAGAGCCGCCAGGAATCTGCCTCCTGCCTAGAGGAGGAGGAGGAGAAGGAGGAGGAGGAGGAGGAAGAGGTGCTCCCGAGCAGGGCTTCCCTGGTGCCCCCTGCGAGGGCCAGGGCATGAGGGCTGCCTTCTGGCGGGGCTGGCTGCAGGGGTGTGCAGCCGCGTGTGCAGGCAGGGGTGCCCAGGGCTGTCCTTCCCAGCAGGGTCCCTGCACCCCAGGTGCTGTGTGCTGGGGCAGGGACTCTGCCGCCTGCCAGGGTCAGCACTCAGCCTGCCCGGGGAGCTCCCCACGGCGCTGTGGGGAGAAGCTGTGGGGGGAAGGAGAGACCCCCACCAGGGCAGGCTCCTTCTGCTCTCCAGAGGCTGCTGCTGCGTGGATCAGGGATGCAGATTAGCCCCACCACAAAGCCAGAGGCAGGTTTTCAAGAAGCACATCAAGGCAGGGTCTACGTGGAAGGAAAGGGGCTTTCTAGGATCTGTGCCTACAGTTTTCTGATGTATTTGGGAGGGTGTGAATAGTAGTGGAGCTATGTTTGACCCAGACTCCTACAGCATTAGAGTGAGAGCTGTGAAGTTCTGTGAGGAAACTGCTTAAGTCCCTTCACCTGTTGCTTTGCCTACTGAAAGCCCCATCACTGCTGTGGTGTCCTCTTACAGCTTGACAACACATGGCTATCCCTGGGCAGTGTCCTGCTGCCAGGAGGGGTCCACAGGGCAGAGCTGAACACAGGGTGGATGGGATGTGGGCTGGCAGCACTGACAGGGAGGAGATAAGGGGACACAGAATCAGCTCCAGGCAGGGACAGCTCCAGGCACCAGACGCTTTGGCAGGGAGGGACAGAAACAGGCTGTCAGCAATGGCTCAGGGATGGTATTTGGGCACTGCCCTATTAGCCCTTCAGTGAAGGAGATTTTCCCTAAGAAGCCCCCCTGGTCTCCTCCCCCAGCCAGCACAGCCTCTGCCCTCCAGGCCCCGGGCTCCAGGGCAGGAGCTGCCTCCTCTGCAGCCAGAGCTGCAGCAGAGGAGACTCCCCCGAGTGTCCGTCTGTCCCTCCCTGGCCTTGCCTTCCTTGGCAGAAGCATTGGGGCATTTCTCCTTGTTTCTCCACCTGCCCCTGCTGCTGCTGCTCTGGTTTGCAGGCTCTCTGGGGATGGGGCTTTCAGCTGCAGCTCAGCCACTGGCCCTGCAGGTCCTACCATGCAGATGTGTCCAGGGGAGCAAGGTGCCCCAGCCCCTTCTAGCCTGAGGCTCTTGGGGAAAAGCTCTCCATGGGCTGCAGAGAAAGATGACCATTTTGCCAAACACCCCATCTGCTAGCAATCTAAAAGCTCAGAGATCTTCCATGGGGAGGGGATTTTTAATGTGGATTCCTCTGCTCTCAGCAGCATGGAGTTTCCTTTCAAGGGCAGAGCTGGGGGTGACCCTCCTCCAGATTCAAGAGTTACAAGCCCAGGGCAGCTGAGAGCAAGTCTGATGGACAGAGTGGCTCTCCTCACTCTGCACTGAGGTTCTGTCCATTTGCATCCCTGGGATCTCCACAGAACTCCTGAGTGTAGCAGAAATATCAAGGCTGTCTGCCTTCAAACCTCACTGCTCAGGTAAGACAGGGCAAGAGGTGAAAAATCAAGAAAAGCAGAGCCCCACAACTCTGCTCTGCAGCCGGGTGCCCTGGCAGGGACAGTGCTGAAATCTCTGTGATTTCATGAGGGGATTTAAGGAGAAATCACTGCGGGTTCCTCTCTGCCTGTTGGGGCACAGCAGGACTGACTCCTGCAGATCCCACAGCAGAATCCCTTGGTCCCCACTGCACCCTCAGCCAGCAAACAGCAGAGATATAGCCAGGGAGTGGCAGGAAGGCACTTCTGGAATGACAGATCTGAGTAGGTGGGTGTTCAGTGAGAAATGAAGCAAGTTTTCATCAGAGAAGGCAGTGCTAACCATTCATTGCCTTCTTCTCCTTGGGCAGGCCCTCATTACTCAAAGATGAAGCAAATGTCCAACAGCAGCTCAGTAACTGAATTTCTCCTCCTGGCATTTGCAGACAGACGGGAGCTGCAGCTCCTGCACTTCTGGCTCTTCCTGGGCATCTACCTGGCTGCCCTCCTGGGAAACGGCCTCATCATCACCGCCATCGCCTGCGACCACCACCTCCACACCCCCATGTACTTCTTCCTCCTCAACCTCTCCCTCCTCGACCTGGGCTCCATCTCCACCACTCTCCCCAAAGCCATGAGCAATTGTATCTGGGACATCAGGGACATCTCCTATGCAGGATGTGCTGCACAAATATTTCTGTTTCTATTTTTTATATCATCAGAGTACTTCCTTCTCACCATCATGGCCTATGACCGCTATGTTGCCATCTGCCAACCCCTGCACTACGGGACCCTCCTGGGCAGCAGAGCTTGTGTCCACATGGCAGCAGCTGCCTGGGGCACTGGGCTGCTCTATTCTCTCCTGCACATGGCCAACACATTTTCCCTACCACTCTGCCAAGGCAATTCCATAGACCAGTTCTTCTGTGAAATCCCCAAGATCCTCAAGCTCTCCTGCTCACACTCTTACCTGAGGGAAGTTGGGGTTCTTGCGGCTAGTGCCTGCTTAGGATTTGGGTGCTTTGTTTTCATTCTTTTTTCCTATGTGCAGATCTTCAGGGCTGTGCTGAGGATCCCCTCTGAGCAGGGACGGCAAAAAGCCTTCTCCACATGCCTCCCTCACCTGGCCGTGGTCTCCCTGTTTATCAGCACTGCCATCTTTGCCTACCTGAAGCCCCCCTCCATCTCTTCCCCATCCCTGGACCTGGTGGTGTCATTTCTGTACTCGGTGGTGCCTCCAGAAGTGAACCCCCTCATCTACAGTATGAGGAACAAGGAGATCAAGGATGCCCTGAGGAAACTTGTAACAGGATGATTTTCAGAAACAATAAAATATCTGCTTTCTGTAAATAACTCAAAATGTAACTCACTACATACAGGGTCATACTCTGTAGGTTTTGTTGCGTTTTATGGTTATGATTTTTTTTTCTTTGTTGTAATTTACATGATGTTCTCTGCTACGAGGTGTCATTATTTTTCCCTTTTCTAATTATTTATCTATCAAGCTTTTGTTTGACCCAGAGACTATGTAAATGAGGACCCATGCTCTCTTTATGTTTAAACAAAAGAAAGGACACTGTAGATACATTTTTCTTTGAGATCCTTCCTCCAAGTTGTTCTCTGGACCCGCCAGGTCAGCCCTTGTATTGGTCTAAGGTCTGAGTGCTTTTGTGCCTTGGTCACTGTCCCATGGTGTGACAGTCCTGTGACCGCAGGCAGGGACAGGCAGTGGGCACTTCTGTGACAGAGCTGGCCTTCATGACAGCATTTCCATCAGACAAAGAGATCTCCTCAGGGCAGTGCAGGAAGGCTCAGGTCTTCTTCCAGAGTTGCTCTCAAGACCATTCCCAGGGAATTTCCCAGGAGAGAAACCACCAGTGAGGAGTGGAAGTGTGTGTGAGTGTGAAGGGTGTGGGCACACAGCAGTGTCCTCGCACAGCCAGGACTCCGGCCAGGGACCTGAAGGCCCAGAAGAGCAGGGGCTGGGCTGTGCCCATGTGTGCTGGGCACCCCGGGGAAGCTGCCCCAGGGCAATCAGAACGGACTGGCCCCTCACAGCCACCACTGGCCTCTCATCTCAGATCGGAGAGGTATTTTGTCCTTCCACAGAGGGACACTGAAGGAGTAGGTCAGAAGTCCATCTTTACATTGAAGGAAGGAGATGTAAGCATGGACATCATATATGTGAGATGAGATTAACCCTGGTGAGCACAAATGCCATCAGCTATTCCAGGGGGTGCCATGAAGGCCTGTGACACTGACTGTGTCTTGAGGTCACTTCATGTAGAGAGTCACATCCCCTGGGAAACCCCCTGAATGCAGCACTGGGTTGTGCTTCCCTGAACCACGGTCCCTGTGTCCATTCCTCGTGCCTCGGGGCATCTCCCACGGGTGCAGAGCAGGGCGAGCACCGCAGGGCTGAGGTGCCTCTCAGCCTCTGGGGGTGGCAGCAGGAGTTCAGAGAGACACTATGGCTCCTGCAGGGCACTGCCTCTGCGTGTGCAAGGGAAGGACTCGTGTCTCTGAACAGCCCTGTGTGTAAGAGGAGTGCCTGAGGCCAGCTCAGCTGTGGGCACCTGACAGAGCCCTGACACTTCTGTGTGTGACTGCAGGAACAACCCCACCTTCCCAGTGAGATTCACCTCAGCTGCCTTGGACAGGCTCATTGCAAGTGCTCCTGTCTGCTCTGTCACACCCCTCTGTCTTTCTGGACTGTGCCCTCAAAAGTGCCAGAGCAATCAGATAGGTTCTGGAGTCCATGGAAAAGGAAAATGTCAAACCCATTTTCAAGAAGGTCAGGAAGGAGTATTGGGAGAATTACAGGCTGGTCAGCTTACCAGCATCTCTGGGAAGGTCATGGTACACTTCCTCCTGCTGCCATTTGCAGGCACTTAAAGGACACAATAAAGGCATCACTGAACCAGAATGGGCAGGGGAAAGAAGGGCGTGGTGTGTACATGGAATTTTGCAAGACCCTTGATATGGTCTCTCATGGTGTCCTTATAGCTGGAATGATGCTCTCTGTGCTAAAGAGGTGGGTGTTACTGTGGGTGGGAAGTTGGCCCCGTAATCAGGCCCAAATGTCATCAGTGGTACAAAGTCCTCCATGCAGCCAGTCACTGTTGCAGGTGTTTATTATCCCCCTGTATGATGTGAGGTAGCACTCTTTCAGCTCATTTGTGGATGATGTAAAGCTGGAACAGGCCTTAAGCAACCTCATCTAGTTCACTGGTCCTTGAGCAGGCATGTCAGACAAGATGAAGTTCAGGGATCTCTTCTAATCTGAGTTACTCTACGATTCAATGAATCTTTCCCTTGGAGAGACCCCTGAGGACAGAAGAGGCTGAGGAAGAAGAAACAAAAAGAAGCAGGAGGTATGGAAAAGGAGATATAAAAGCTGACAACTTAAATAAAGCAGTTCCTGCAAAGCATGCTTCTCCACTCAGATCATTAGTAGGAAATATATTTTATAACTTTGATAAAACAAACATACTTTTATCTGGTTGGGTCCTGGGCCATAAGGGGGGTGATGGATGACTATGGTATTATGAGGTCAATTGTGTCTCAGAAACTCAAACTCCAACAAGAAACATATGACTGTGAAGGGGACCATGAGGTCATTTCTGTCTCTGGAGGTGACAGGCCAGCAGCAGGAACACGGCTGGGAAAGTTCCTCTGCCAAAGTAACCCCACAGGCCCTACCCAGGAAAAGGGCTTGGACATGGGTTCTCATGTCTGTTCCACATGAGCACAGGATGGGACAGCAGCACGCACATGGCTTGCTCCCATCCATCCAACAAGCTGCAAGACCAGCAGCAGTCGTATTGCTAGCGGTCGCAATTGCGAAAGAACTTATCTACACACAGCAGATAAGCAGGCACTTCTTTATTCCAGCGCTGGGGAACACGGGGGATAACTCCGCCAAAGACGTGTTCCCCGACAGGTACAAAGCACAACATATTTATACACTTTTTCAGCAGAGTCATAGTTACATAAGATCAACAAAATTCATAAAGTTTAAGTTGACCTTAATAATGATTGGCTGTCAGTTACCTCACCTTACCTATATTCCTACACTAGAGAAATAATTGGTCATCTTTACTGATTGATTTAAATAGAATGGGGGGAGGGCAATGATTAGCATATTCATGTTATTTCCTGGGAATTATTATCATATGCAAATGTCTCTAACGCATGCGTGGTTATACTGGACGGGGGTCCTCTGGCAGTCATCGATAGTCTTCATCACTGTGTCGGCTGATTGAACTCCATCCTTGCGCATGCTCACTCCATCTTTGGTTAATGTTCACCTCTCCCTTGGCCGATCTTCCCAACCAAACCAGTTTTCCTCTGGTACCTATTGTTTCAAGTCAAGATCCATAACCAGTACCTATTGCGTTAATTCAGAGTCAGTAACGATTGTTATAGTGTTCAAGGCACACACCATACTAGTTGCTTAATCCTAAGGGCCTCAGTGTACTTTATATTCTCAATGCTATTGTAGCTTCATGTTAAATCAAAATCATAATTTTAAACTAAAATCAAAATAATATTCTAGGATTCAAACTGTTTTACTAAGGTAACTGCAACATTTCCCCACTTTGAATGTATTGATAATCATACTCAATACTTTCACATATTTAAATTGTGGTCTCACTGAATGCCAAATTGTCATATGATGGTGGATCTTTTAATGACTTATCTTGTTGCTTCACCTCTGCTTGTATAATAATTTGATTAAACTCTGCTTTAAGGGTCAATTCCTGTTTCAAATAATTGTATGTCAGACCAAACACTATGAACACCATTGGTCACCTCTGCTAGGCCTGATAATGATTATTTTTCCCCTCATCCATGTTTCTACCATCATAGACTATAAAATTTACAGAATACCAAAATTCAGATACTTAATCATGCTTCAGAGTCAATTTTAACATTTCCGGTCATCCAGAAAAGGTATCAACCCCAACCAGAACATACCGATATCCTTTACATTTGGGTAATTCTGTAAAATCAATTTACCAATAGTCACCAGGTTCTACTCCTACTTTCAGTTTGCCCATTTGTACTCTCTTCTGTACCACCAGGATTATTCTTTAAACATGCATTGCATTCTGCAGCAACCGATTTAGCCATCTCTGACATCCTTACTGATACTATGTGCCTCTTCAGGAATGTCACCAGGGCCTCTACACCCCAAAGGCATTCCTGATGTTTTACTTGTAGTATTTCCCTCATAATTAATGGGGGCACAACCACCTGGCCTTCAGAGGTTGTCCACCATCCTTCTAAATTTTTCTTTGCATTTAAAAATTGAGCTAATTTCTCACCTTCCTTTCAGTATTCTGGTGGTTCCTTTGGGAGAGTTTAGGTTCTAGTAGGAATTACTGCCATTTGTAACATTCGTTGTTGAGCTGCTTCCTTGGCAGCTTGATCTGCTAACCTATTCCCTCCTGCTATTTTTGTATTTCCAGATTGATGTGCTTTACAGTGCATGATCACTATTTGGGCTGGTTCCTGAACCGCCAATAACAACTGTAAAATTTCCTTCTGATGTTTACTATTTTCCCCCTGGGAGGACAATAGTCCTCGTTCTTTCCATAAAGCTCCATGGACATGAACCACTCCAAAAGCATATTTTGAATCTGTCCAGATGTTCACTTTCTTTCCCTTACTTAATTCCAATGCTGGTGTTAAGGCAATTAATTCTGCTTTCTGTGCTGATGCAGTGTTGGGCAGTGCATCTGCCTCTACCACAGTACTTTCAGTTGTTACCGCATATCCTGCGTAGCGAGTTCCATTCTGTACAAAGCTGCTGCCATCTGTAAACAGCTCCCATTCAGGACCTTTGAGAGGGACATTCTTCAAATCTTCTCAACGAGAGTATATATGTTCAATAGTCATTATACAATCATGTTCAGGTTGTTCTTCCTCCTGTGAAGCACTCGGAAAAACTGCAGGGTTTACAAGATTAGTTGTTTTCAGAATCACGTCATCTTGCTCTGTAAGGATTACCTGATATTTCATCATTCTGCTAGGGGACAGCCAATACCCCCTTTTTTGTTCCAGCACTGTAACAGCCATATGTGGAACACAAAAAGTGAGGATTCTTCCCAAGGTGAGCTTTCTGGCTTCTTGTATCAGTATTCCTGTTGCTGCTACTGCCCGCCAGCAGGAAGGCCATCCTTTGCTCACCGTGTCCAGATTGTTTAGAAAAGTACCCCACAGGTCTCTTCCAGCTTCCCATCCTCCGGGTCAGGACTCCCAGGGCAAGGTGCTGTCATTCATGGAGAAACAACTGGAAATCTTTAGTTA